AGGCTGGTACCACATAAGAAGTTCATGGACGTAATGGATTAGGCGCACATACCCAATCACTGCGCTTTATTGTTTTGTGCGATTCGTTTCCTTTGGCATGAGCCTCGCGGGCCGCATCTTGTTCACTCGCTAGGTTCCCTTTCATCAATCAACGGGTTGGCATAGCGTGTTTTCTTTATATTGTCACGGGAGCGCCGGAGTCAGAAAAAACGTCTAGCGGAAAGTGAGTGCTTCTTGATCGTTATGACTTATTTAGCTGTTGTTGGTATATATCAAACATATACAAGCTTTGATACTACACTGATCCAACTTGCTCTGACTGGTTTCGGATCCATTCCATTTGCTTCACTTGTCTTGAGACGAGATGATCAAATATTCGCATATCATTTCTTAAATAATCTATCTATGACTCTTATCAAACATAAAACACTGCAATATTAAAGCGCAACAAGATTTGGGTCTTATTGAATCAGCCCAGGGTATAAACGACAGTTACTCCGGTATTTATATCCGCAACGCCCAAAATCAGTTTTAGTGAGAGGATGCCACCCTGCACTGCAGATGGTGGCGAAGGGATGTTGCATTAGAGAGAGACGTGAATGGTGTAGCTCGAAAAGGAAATGGTGTAGGTCAGTGAGGTCTAGATTCTGGGAGTGGTTCCGGGGACGTAGGGCTTCCCTCGCCGCACAGCGCCGAGATCAGCCTCGTCCATCAGGTCGGTGAATGTTGTCGCTCTCGTCAGGGGGCGGGGCTTTACAATGGTGCTGGGGTCCGCGAAAACGTTGATATTCTCGCTACTCGGCTCACGCTGAAGCTCAGGGGTGCTTGGTCGACGACTACAGTACGACGAGCCCTTCATAGCACGGATCGGGGGCAACCGAACGTTTCCATGTCGAAGAGACTCTTCATTGTCGAGGGGACTGGGCTGGGCATTGGGTGAGGGGTTGGGTGAGTCGAAGGGATTCGGAATAGAGATGCGAATCCGCGGAGGTGGGGCGTTGAGGCGTGTGCCAGCACTGGAAAGCTGGCGCGCAGGCACGATGCTGGAGCGTTGGGTTGAAGGGGTCTTGAGGATGAAGTCGGCGCGATAAGAGTTGGGCTGGCTGATGGGCTCGGAGATGATGTTTCCGAACGAGGCATCGCTCGTGGATCGACGGCCGTACCCGTAAATATGACTGCCCTTCTCTGAGCCTTGGGCATCACGTTTGTTCTGACGACGGACGTAGAGGAAGATTACAACGGCGATGATCAGGAGAATGATACTACCGCCGACGACGCCGCCGACGATGGAGGTAGTAGCGGGCCCCGAGTTGTCGGACTTTGAGTCTCCGTCCTTGTCTGAGCTATCATTGCCCGAGCCAACAGCTGCTGTGGGCTCAGCGCTCGTGGAGGGTGCAGCGCTGATGGAGATGGTCTCGATAGCCCCCGTAGCAGTAGTTATGGCACTGGGAACAGGCGTAGACGTCTCGTTGGGAAGCTCAGCGCCTTCTGGGACATTGGTCTGATCCTTGTCGATCACACACTGCTCGTCTTCACACGAGTATCCAAAAGGACAGCACTTCTGCCCACATTTTTCAAGATCGAGGTTGAACACTACCGTCTTGACGGGGGCGTTGGGGAACTCTCTCTGGTCCTGGCCGCGGATATCGCAGGTGATGGGTTGAATGACATTGCAGGTCTGGCCGCTGGGACAGCATACGGCTGTGGTCTTGCCAGCGAGAAGTCTGCAGGAGTTGCCCTTGGGACAGCAAAAGTTGGCGATGTCGCTGTTGCATGATGTCTGATCCGCATCGCATGTGTCTTGGCGGGCGAAGATGCTGTTGGCGGGGAGAGCGGAGGATGTTGAAGCGTAGAGGGCTGTAATAAACAGAACCCTCAGGGGGGTTGGGAGTCTTCCCAAAAGCATGTTTGGCGTGTATTATGCGTGTAGTTGTTGGTTGTTGTCTTTAGGGTTAGTTTCTTGGGGTTGGTTGTGTTGGTTCGCTGTTGAAGGAGTGAATGTCTTGAAGTGAATGTGCTATTGTATATGCAAGGAGTCAAGACAAGATGATATGATATGCAGATGAGTTGGCAGGTCAGACACAACCAGCGCGTGTGACAAAGAGGAAAGGAATGAGTCAACTGAACAAGTGAATATGATTTGTTTTTTGTTTGTTCGATAGAACAGCAAAGGTGAAGAAACGGAACAGTAAATACAGGACGCAGAACAGGAGAGGGAGAGGAAAAAAGAGGGAGGACAAGGGTACTAGACAAAGACGGAGAATGGAACCATGAGGTCACTGACTAGGGAACCGTCTTCTCTCCATCGTGGACGTGGACATGGTCTTTCCACTGCCTTGCCGCCTTGTCCGTTGAGAGTCATCTCGACCCATTCGTGGACGATATTTCAGGCTCGACTGTCGCATCAGAGACCATTGGGCGGTTGATCAGAGAGGCTGAGAGCCAGTCGCTGGGAGGGTCTAGGGCCTATCGCTTGACACGCCAGCAGACACTACGTAGGTAGTCGGTCTGGGACCGCTACTGCTACTGCTAGATATGGGGGAATATAGAAACTGGTTTTGTTTGGCGATAATGTCGCCATGGTTGAGACAGACGAAAATGCTGTGGTTGGCTGAGAGTCTCAGAAGACGTTAAGCGCGCGGCGATGCATGTCGCGGATTGGTTCCTTTGGAGCAGAGCCCACTAGAAGTTTAGCTGTGGGGGGCTCTGTCTCAGGCGCTGAAGACTCATGGCCAAGCGCTAAGTTTGGGCGCGTAGTTTTCTAACTTGGACTCAGGTTGTGATGAGATCCAATGATAGAGACGAGTAGCTCTATGAGAGAGGGGGTCACTGTTTGACGGCCAGTTCTGGGCACAGAGTGTGTGAAGAAGAAGAGAGAAAAAAAGAATTGTGTTGTGTTATTTAGGCTTCAACAGGCTGTTTCTTGTTGTTATGGGCTGCCTCTCTTTCGTTCTTGTCAGTGACGATAGATGGATCCCAGTAAACGAACCAATTTCTACAACATGACCTTGTCACGGGATCAAAGCACGGATATCTTGATCTCCGGTGCGTTCTCTGGTTTCTTTGTCCCTGCTGTAACAGGACCAACTGAACCCCTACACCCATAGATTATCGTGATACAAACCACCAAAAGCCTCTGTCCTATAATTGCTAACGTACTGTAATATTCTTCGTCTATATCCGTCCGTACTGCATGCCATTTACCCGATCCCCCTATATTCGCCAAAGCCACCCCCTGGGCTCTCGCACACAGAAATGCATCTCACAAATTCCAGATTCGCCTAGGTAGGCCGAGGCAAGAGGCAAAAAGTCCACGTCTTCTCCGCTGCGGTCAGTAAAGAAAAGAATAGTTGCCCTACCCCTACCTACAGGGGGCGTGTAAGTCATTGGATTTGGCAACTCGTAGTTCTCCGCACTGTCCAGAAGCTCTGAAGATTGGGGAGGATTGTCTTTCCTTTTCTGTCGCTGCTGAAGAATACGTGTTTGCCTCTAAGTTTCCGTCCTGTAAATCAAATGCACTGCTATGCGATGCGCTGGTGCGCTGGTGCCTCTCTGTATCGTCCCTGTAGATGCACTGCGACTCGTACGGAGTAACGGCTCATGATGTTGCATGCATTGGACATTCTCATATAGGGTGAGGCTTTGAGAGAGATGATCTATAGGATGATGTAGATAAGGAAAAGGTTCCCAAATATACATACTATGAATTGTCCTCGTACTGCATTTGCATAGCATAGCATTGCATGGCATTGCATGCGGCTTCCTTTCCATACATCCGCAACGGGCATAAGGCCTCATTTCTCCAGCACGTGTGCCACAGTATAAACATTCTCAGGCCACTGAAAAACTCCCTGTATCTAGATGCCTGCCGTAGCAGCACATATCTGCATCTCATCAATACCACCCCCACGGAGAACATACCTCTCCCCGGCTTTCATGGTGTGATGATGCTGACTTCTCCAGGGAATAAATAAGCACACAAGTAAAGAGAACCCATCGTATGCGGAATAATATGCTTGCAGGTAGAGTAATCAGACCGAGGCATTAATGCCTATCCCAGTTGTGCCTCTCGGAGTTGTGATCCCTTTTCAGAGGCTTGCAGTCAGCACTGGAGAAAAGTCCCCGGATTATGTGGTGTGATTTTGCATGATCAGACAGATACTGTCAATCTCACCTTCCATAGTCGTTACAGTGAGGGAATAAACAAATTGAGTGGTAATGTCACAGCCTAGAGTGCCAATTGCGACAATAAAGTGCTTTGTTCATTGTCTGCCTTGTCTCAGCAAGGTCATATTGTCCTATCTGTATACCGCTTCCTTTCTGGGAGCTAGCCCATAACCAGCTTCCCAGAGCCTCTCTTTTCATATCGTCATCCTTCACGGCGCCTTTACCCCAGATCCTCATTGCGCCGTTCCCCCCATACCATTGCCCGCTTGGTATCATAGTAAAGCAATAAACAATAGCGAGTGATCCCGAGTCTCGCGGTACTCGGCCGTTTCCATCCAATAAACTGACATTTAAAACGGCATCGTGGTGCCGCCCCATTTGTTCCTGCATATGGCCATGTATATTTTGCCAAACGTCTTATGCATGCATGTCCCTAACGCCTCGTCCCTGTATCAAAATATGTCGAGTGTGGTGCATCCAAGTGTCGCTATTTGTGCTCCCACATTCATCTCAAAACGCCTCGCGGCTTCCTCTAGTAACCCATCCCAGTAGGTATCATTGTATATGAAGTGAAACGAAGAAAAGAAAAAGATAGCTCTGCCCTTTCGGGACAGAGAGTGAGTGAATAACATACCCTCGTCTAGGACATGGAAGTCTCACTTCCAAGCCTGGTCCTCGACGGCTGGCAAATGCCCGCTTCGCCTGATGAGGTGGTCCTGGCCGCTCTCATGTTACTGAAAAGAAGGAAGGTTAGAGCAGAACTTCATGGTTTCACCCAGCACGGTCCTGCTACCCTTCAAAGGCCAGCCAAGAAGGTTTACAGAGAGCAGTGCTCAGATCAACAAAAAGTCCCATCCCTTCGATTCCATGACATCCCGCCAGTGGATGTGCAGCTGGGACGCCTCAGACGTCGTGGACCCGGGTGTGCTCACACCCGAGAGGCTGTCATTCTGAACCCACACCTCGTGCAGGAGGGTGGCTACACGTCCCATGGTGCCAAATCTAGCCGAGTCGCCCAGCTGAGCCAGGCGGTCCTCGAAGAATGCACGGAATGAGCTACCAGGAACGCTGATGGAGCCGCCAATGAGATAGACCCAAGCAAGGTTGCGGTCAAACCCATTGGGGCCCGAGGGAATGTGTTGAAGCACCGTAGTCAGCTTCTCAACCAAGCCCATGGGGGATGGCTGTCTGGGGTTGAATCCAGGAACCAAGCTGCAGAGGAAGATGCGAGCCGCTATGCGGAAGGCCATGGTCATGTTCTTAGAAAGCTGCTTAGGTGAAAGGCTGCCATTGGCATTGAAAGGCATCTTAGGGCCTGCATCGCCCATCTCGGTCAAGCTAATCTGTTCTCCAAGGGCAGAGACATGCTGGCAGAGTGTGAAGTCATCCATGCCATCCTTCTTGAGAGACTCGAGGCAGGCGATCTCGGAAATGAGATACATGACCCGGTCATCACAGCCCATCAGCTCACGCAGGCCAAGGCTAGGGTTGAGCTGAGAAAGATGCTTCTCGCGGTAAGTGTGAGCAAATGTGGGTGAGCGACCCTTCATCGTGGCACCGAGAATGTCAATCCATGACGAGAGAGACATGTTGAATGGGGTTTGCATTGAAGCCCGAGTAGGATCGGAGACGATGCCGGGAAGATCAAGCTTCTGTACCAAGCTGATGGCAGCCTGGAAATGCTGGTGCCAAGGAATATCGAGAAGGCCATCGTCATAGCGGCCAACTACAGATTGGAAGAAGATGAGGCCAAGGGTTGCTTCGAGAATTTGCTGGTGGTTCTCGTCTTTCTTGAGAGCCTCGCAAAGAGCCCAGATGGTAGCATAGCGATGGCGCATGATGTCGTTGTCGATGTCCTCGGTAGAGGTGGAGCCATTGGTATGTGATTTGAGGTGTTGGGCAGCGACACTCAGGCAGCAGTGAAGGTAGGCACTGTTTGATTGAAGAGCAGGGAGGATCAGGTCTGAGCTGACTGAGCAATGTTGGTTGGACTCGAGGATGGGAAAGATGGTTGGCAGAACGAACTGGATGAAGTGGTCCAGCAGACGCTGGTCGTTCTCATCCAACTCAATCTTGACTTGCCTCGACTCTGTGGAAGGGCCATGTGAAAAGTCAAAGAAGTTGCAGTTGAGGGTCTCCTCTGAAAGGGATTCCTTGCGCTCTTGGAAGACCTGCTCGGCCCACTCGCCGTCAAGAGGACCGTTGGGCAGAATAGTACCAGCTGGGGGAGGAGTGTGGTAAGTGCTGAAGGTGGATATGTGTGATTCGCGAACTGTGGGCACATCATTCACAAACATCTGTCGCTCTGTCTTTACATCGATCTCATAAGGCGAGTAGCTGCCAATCATGAACTCGGGGTGCATTGGCGCACCGAATCCATACTCATTGCCACTAGGAGGGCTGTTGAAGTTGAAAGCAGCTGGGAATTGTGAGTCAATGGAGGCGGATCTTGTGCGGTCGAGAGGATCAGTGAAGGTGGCTGATGTGGGAAGAGAGTGGGTGAGGCCAGGAGGAGAGCTGGTGACAGAGTTCTGGATGTTGTGTGATGACTTCTCAGAGAGCTTCTTGCGCTTGATGATCATCTTGATGTCCTCCTTGTGTTTCCTTCGCATATCGTTGTTGCTCCACCACATGGGTCGCTTGTACTCGCATTGCAAGCCGAGGTGCTTGCAGGCTGTGCACATGGGAGTTCCCTCGTCGCATTTCTTGCGTCGCAGACGGCAAGTATAGCACCCTGTGAGATTCATGTTAGCTCACTACACTCCAGTAAGATGGTATATAAGCGGGCGTACCTGTTCTTGAACGACGATGCATCTGCGTCTTTGTCTTTGGCTTGCCATTGCTGGCTTTGGAGGCCGGTTTGGCCTTTGAAGACTGTGATACAGTCATGTTGACGGTGCTTCCAGTTGCTCGCGACACGCCTTTGCGATGGTCGGGGGGCAGCGTAGACATTTGTAGGCTGCGATGCTTGGTCCTTAGAGTATTGGCGTGGTAGGGGACCAGGAGGGGTGTGTGATCGACAAGGGGGGAGTGGCACTGTGTAATCAGGGACCAGACGCACACTGTACTCTAAACCCAGGCCTAGTCGAGTGTGGAGTCGATCAGAGCGGGACGGGATGGAGAAATTGTCTTTGCCTGTCTTTTGCTTTGAACTGGGCTGAGGATCCAGAAGCGAAAGCCAAGAGGTTGGGCGTTGGGAAACGTGACCGGGGGGATGTCGAATCCGAGGTTGTCAAGTCCGTTTCAACAAGTCGAAAATTAAATTAGTGTTATTGTATCGGTCAGGATCAATACGGATCACTGAGCGAATTGTTTGATTCTGTGGGTAGTCGTGTAAGTGGCAGCCAGGCCAACGTATCAGACCACAACGTATCGTCTGTTATTCCGTTTCGTTTCGAATCGAAATGTCCTTTTGGGAAATTGCGTAGTAATGATTGACTGGTTCGAAGCAAGTCCGGCTTGCTTGTAACTGGATATTGTAAAGATTGATGCGGGTAATAGAAGGGTTTGAGGAGGGCGGTAAGAGAGGAAGGGGAATCAAGAGAACCTTTGGCGACACTTGGAATCTCTGAACATAACGAAGAAGAAAGAGGGCAAAATTCTTGGGCGGCTGCTGGAGGGCTAAATCCTTATATTTTGGCCGCTTCTCTCGTGGCCCTTCACACGTCGATTCGATGATGGCTTCCCATCATCCTGTTTCTATTTTTGCATCATGCACGACGAGCATGCCATGGCACCAGAGGCAGCGACTGCGCTTAGAGAAGCCAATGGGGAGAGTCGGTCAAAAGATGGTCTCTCTGTGTCCATCGGAACTCCACTCTAGGAATAGATATGCACAAAGACAATAAGGCGAGCAGGGGTTCAGTCGTCTAAAGGGGAAAGTCGCGCATGGTGTGCCCATCTAGTCATCTATGGTCATAGCTAGCAGCCACTCTGCTCGCATGAAGAGCTCATCGACGGGGGGGTTGGAGCCCATCCGGATCTAGCTCCTCACGGGATAATATGCGAGGCGGGCGAGCTTGGACTTTGACTTTTGGCTTCTGATTTGAGGCCCTCCACTTGTTGGCTAGTACTCGAGGTTCAACTGCTATCCATCAAGATGCCTGAGAAGTCTGAGATGCGGTTCGTGATGTTTACTTTCACCGAAAAGAACAAACGTCGAGAGTTCGGGCATGGGCTCGGCTTTCGCGCAGTAGGTTTGTGTGGTGATCAGTAGGGGTTGCTTCTTCAGTATCTATTCTCATCCCAAGAAGCAGTAACACCCAACATCACTATGATGGTGATACGGATAGAGAAGCTCACCGGGCTCTTGCGCCTGCGTCTGCATATGCGCGAGTATGTACACCGGAAGAGGGGAAATGCCAAAAGGTCGCACAAGGATCCGACCGCTAGCTCACCTCCGCTATCAAGGTCTCATATCAGGATCGTTCCATGCTCAACTGGCAGAGAGTGTACTGTGCTGGTCTGAAAACTCCATTCGGTCGCATCTAAGATGGATTCATTAAACAGTAGCATCTAGTGCAGCCATGTCAGTTGTGCAATTCACGATTTGCGAGTCATATTTCACGCTTCACGTCTTGCAACTCGGCCGAAGTGGACGATCGGGCAAGAAACCTGTTGGGCTCTAGGACACAACGGAGATAGGCTGGTGGTAGGACAGAAGCCCTGGCCAAGTACCTAGACGATTATCAACGAATAGAATAGTCAAAGAGGCGGTCAACCTTCAGATTGGTCAAGCGGCGAAAGACCTCGTGCGTGCAGTCCTGCAAGTGGCTGTCCGCAGCCGGGTCGAGAAGCCAGAAGCCCCATGGATGGCCGCCAAAAACACCAAGTCTCCAGTTCTAAAGAATACCGGCATGGTTGGGTGTTACGGGACAAGTGCATGTCTTGACCAGGGGTGGAGGACAGTGACGTCTAACAGCGCGGGGGTTGTTGAGAAATACCATATCTGGAGGTCACGGGGGTCGAAAGGGCCTAGTGAGCGATAAAGGAACGAGTCAAGATGGGGTTATGGGCTCAGAGAGGGCATTGACATGTCTCTCTCTTGTTCGGCCCAGGTAACCTCAAGTGTTGATCAGTATGTGTCGAGTGCTCCATAGCAAAAGTCGTCAGTGAGACACAACATATGATTGCTGCAACTACGCGGCAACAACTCAGCTTAGCTGAGCTTGACGAATTGGGTACGTGAAGAATGGTGCTCAACACTCAAGCAGCGCAAGGCGCTCTACATGGCTTCCGCTATGTGCCGTAGCAGTCTGACATGTACCCGAGCATTGCTCCAGTGGACATGACCTGGCATTGCCATGTTTTCCAGTGGCTGATCAGTGAAAAGCTCTGCTCTTCTGGCGCCAAAGTTGGGTCAGGTTGCATTCTGCAGTGACTGGGGAGCAAAAAGATCGGTCTGGTGAGCAGGCCTGTCGTTGTGAAAAAGAGCGTTTCTGGTCCGTGATTCGACAGTCGAGGGTGACACGCGTGCATTAGCGCATTATGGGACGGGACCAACCGATGAGGAGCTTCTGCCGCGGGGCAGGGGCAGGTGAGAGGACTAGCCCGAAAGTGTGTTAGCACGGTTGATTGCCTACCCCGGCCTCAGATCTGGATTGGCCCCGAGCCGCAGGTGGCGCAACAGGGGACCTCTGGCGCTAAAGCCAATGAGAACGGAGAAGATGATCTCTGCCGCCATGCTCCTGCATCTGTTCAGGGACCCCTGGCTAGCTCGAGACCCTTACCTTGCACCAATGCACCTCGAGGTGATCAACAAAACACCGAGCCGAGCGGGGAAACTCAAGCTGGTCCTGGTGAGTTTATGATGTGATAAGCGGACCATGACGGGCAATAACGGGCGGCCTAAAATGGGTCATTTTATATGCTCTTTGACCGTTGGCTGATCAGGAAAGAAGTTGCTGAGACGCGATGAATGTCACTGCTCGATCCTGTTGTGGCAACACAAGATCAATCTTATCTTGATAGCGTGCTTATGTTTGTGGAGGAGGCTGTACTGTACCTGTCTGCAGTGCCGATGAAGAAACAGAAACCAACAGTCAGATCACTAAAATCCTCCATCCAACAAGATTATACAGTACATACCTAGCTACCTTGGCAACTAGCTAGTGCACAAGGTCATCTCATCTGTAAATCTGCCAACCAGATCGAAGCTGCTCTACACCATCAGTAGATATGGGCATGCAAGACCAGACCAGACCAGACCAGACCATTTCAAGGTTGAGCTTTGATTATCCTTTGAACCTAGCAAGGTACATTAGCCTATCTTGATGGTTACTGAATCTGGAAATGTCATCTTGCCATCCTCTGCTCCGGCTATCCTATCTTATCTCTCGACTTACACACGCACTCTCTCTCTCTTTTTCTCTCTGTCTCTCTAGGTCGCTCACATTTCAATCCCTTCAGCACCATAGAAATGATAATATTTGTGTGTGAAAAGGCCCGATCCATCTGGCAATGCTTAGCTCTTCTGACCCTGGCCTAACATTTAATATCTCATCACACTGTTTGGGCATTTCGTAAACAAGTCCATCACACTATCACCTGTCAAGCCCATGAATTCCACTCCCGCTATGGACTAGTCAAGTCATGGATAGATAGCTCCCCCGCCAATGCGAGTCATTGCCCAAATGCCTCCGCTCGTCGCAATTAAACACTACCGGCCGCCTCCGATTGTTGGTCGTCTTCTCGTCTGTTCATCCCGTACGAACCCTGATCCCTGCAGCTTCTCTCACGAGCAAACCGTTTCTGGTCTCCTCGTTGACACCATCGGGACAGGGCTCCGTCTAAGCCGGAGATTTTGGCCCTTCTGCTAGGTGACTATTTTAACTCTTTTGCCCCCTCTTTTCAACTCGGAATCTGGGCTAAATCCAATGCCTTGGCGCTTAAGCTTGTTTGGATCAGCAGTTACAACACCGCGAGAGCGCTAACACATCCCATCACATCCCATCACATCCCAATGCTCACTTGCAAGTCTATTTTTAATTTAACCCACATTCCCTGGTTCATTCCAGCATAATTAGGCCATCATCAAGGTCGTAGAGTATGCGGCCAAAAAGGCTATTGATCTGGGCTAATTATGGAACAATTGCTCTTGATTAAACTTTCTCTCCTATGTCAATGCGCTTCCATCTTGTCCGCAACTCTTTTCAGCTCGCTCTCTGTCATCTTTGCTCATATTGACACGGAGAGTTTTATGTATTCTACTTTGCTTACCCTAGTTAATGCTTTTTGTTGATCCCTACTTCTCTATGCTGAGTACTGACTTTACTTGAACTACATACTCCGAAGGCCGACACTTCGGCAAGCTTAGTACCTACATAGCAGTTGTGTGATCTATCATGATATCTTGGCAACCGAGTATTTTGATCTGCGCTCGAGGTAGTATTCGTAAATTTAATGCAACTGGGCTTGGTCGTGGGTTTACCGGAATATTGCTGACCCTCTGTAGCCATCAAAATCACCCTCTCCTTGGACACACAGTATGGCAACATTGCAACCTAGGCACCCTGTCAACCTACTAGGCCTCAACTTGCGGCCGACTTCGAATCGCACAGTCGATAGTTCAATAACTCGACACTCGCCCTTTATCAACGCATGATTCATAATCTCGATGAGACCAGACCAAACTTTTGTCCGCCATCGATTGTCAAGGGTGTAGCATGTGTTTTACCGTTTTAGACGGTCTAGCCCTGCGTGGCTGAGGAAGGTTTCTCATTTCTCATCTTATCAGCAAAATTGAGTTTGGTACCTCAAGTTGAATTGTGTTGGCCGCGTATCCCGACTCACACACCACCACGTTCGTTTGTGGGCCTTTCCGTAGCCGTTGAAGGGTCCGCGGGGAGCTTCTTGGCCCTCGCGGGCCGGTCCAAACTCAGGCGGGAAGTTAATCGCATCCATATCTAGGGTCCTCAGAATCATGCTTTATACTGTGCTGTATTACCTCGTCT